TGGCTCGCCCCTGTTCTAGAACACCAGGACACCCACCTGCGGCCCGCCATCCCCCTGCAGAAGTGGGTTGCAATCGCCCTGTGGAAGCTGGCCACCCCCAACAGCTACCGCTCTGTGGGACACCAGTTTGGCATGGGGAGGTCTACCGTCAGGGCTGTTTTGATGGAGTAAGTCACTTTTGGGGGACAGGCCCTGCTGAGTGAGGGAGGTTGAGAAAGAGGGACCGCCAGGCAAGGGCAAGAGGGAGTGGGGGATGGAGTGGCACTTGGAGGCCGCTCCTTGGTCACTCCTGCACTGATGTGGGGGAGGGAGGCATCCTGACAAGGGAAGGGATGGCTGGGAGGGGAGAAGAGTTCTCCCAAGTGCTTAGGTAACCTGTCTAACTCCCTGGTTTCTGTCTGTCTATTTGTCTCGTGCTGCAGGTGGTGAGGGCCATCAATGCGGAGCTGTTGAAGAGGCTCATCCATCTCGGGGACTGGACAACATCCTTGTGGGGTTTGCTGCCCTTGGCTTCCCGAACTGAGAAGGAGCCCTCGATGGGACACACATCACAATCTGCACACCGCCCCATCGAGCAGCCCAATTGATAAACCAGAAGGGCTACTATTCTATGGTGCTGCAGGCCCTGGTCGACCACACGAGACATTTTATGGACATTTGTGTCGGGTGGTCGGAGCAGGCACATGATGCCCGCATATTCCGCAACTCCTATCTGTTCCACAGGTTGCAGGCAGGAACATTTTTCCCTCAGCAGGACCTCACACTCAGGGATGTGCAGATGCCAGTATGCTTAGTGGCCGACGTGGCCTACCCACTGATGCCGTGGCTCATGAAGCCCTACACTGGCCACCTGGATGCGAGCAAGGAGCTTTTCAACATGCATCTTGGCCAGGCTCACATCCAGGTGGAATGCGCCTTCGGCCATCTGAAAGGGAGATTCCGTTGCCTCCTCATGCCTGAAGATAGGAGAATGCAACATCCCGGAGGTGGTAACCGCATGTTATGCCCTCCATAACCTGGTGGAGATGAAAGGGGAGGCCTTCCTCCCGGGGTGGGGGACAGGTGCTGATGGTGAGGACAGGCCATTTGAGCAGCTCCCGATGGTTGCCATCCGCCAGGCTCACCAGTCTGGTGTCTGAATCTGTGAGGCCCTGAGGGATTCTCAGAAGGAGTCCACTGACTCTCCCCAGGGCCTCCCTCATGGGGGGTTTGGCCTGGCCCACCCCTAACTTTTCCTCCACAACCCTCACTCTCTTCCCATAAATACACACACACATGCTTTTCTTTGGAAACAGAAATTGTTTTTTTATTAGAAAAAGAATCAATACACAAAATGTGCTAACTGTGTATAAACCACCGTTCTCTTGGTACCGTTCAACTGTTTATAAACAAAGTAAATCTGTCACTCAAAAATAAAGAATTTGTTCCATAACTGAAATGTCCTATCACTGTGGTAGTAGGGGGCTGAACACCGGGAAGGGGGAGGAGGACTGAACACCTCTACACAGACCTGCTGAAGGAGCGCGTAGTGGCCCTGCAGGACCTGAACAGGACCCTTCAGCAGAGGGCAGAGGCAGAGGCCAACGGGCGCACCAGGCTGAGCTGGTCCAGCAGCGTACTTCCATCTGTGCCACTATGCGGGAGGTCCTAGCCTTCTCTGCCCCTTCCACGAGCACCGTTCCTCTTACATGCCAGGCCCCTGCACCCCCAGCCCCTCCTTCTCCTCCAGCTCCCCCAGCTCCTCCTGTTCCCGAGCCCTCAGCTCCCTCGCCTGGGCCAGGACTGGATCTCACTCCACCCGAGCCCAAAGCCGTGGCGGTGCCAGGATGCAGGAAGGTGGCAGGAGCCTACTTGATGAGCCCCCTTTCTGCTCTTCGGGTACATCTAAACTACATGGCTCCGTCGACGGAGCCATGTAGTTTAGATGTACCCGAAGAGCAGAAAGGGGGCTCATCAAGTAGGCTCCTGCCACCTTCCTGCATCCTGGCACCGCCACGGCTTTGGGCTCGGGTGGAGTGAGATCCAGTCCTGGCCCAGGCGAGGGAGCTGAGGGCTCGGGAACAGGAGGAGCTGGGGGAGCTGGAGGAGAAGGAGGGGCTGGGGGTGCAGGGGCCTGGCATGTAAGAGGAACGGTGCTCGTGGAAGGGGCAGAGAAGGCTAGGACCTCCCGCATAGTGGCACAGATGGAAGTACGCTGCTGGACCAGCTCAGCCTGGTGCGCCCGTTGGCCTCTGCCTCTGCCCTCTGCTGAAGGGTCCTGTTCAGGTCCTGCAGGGCCACTACGCGCTCCTTCAGCAGGTCTGTGTAGACATGCCAGTGCCTGCAGGTGCCACAGGTCCGGGATGGTGGTGGGGCAGGTGTGGTGCTCCCCATTGGATAGAGGGCCCAGCAGTGGAGGAAAAGAGGAGGAGACAATCACTGTCTGTGTGCACCTCCGCTGTCCCCGAGGGCATGCTGTGGCTATCAGGGACTTTCCTTTGGACAGGAGACTCAAGGGTGTTACACGTATCACCGTGTGTGAGTTGGGCAGTGGCCTGAAAGCCTCATAGGGGCCCCACAGTGGCAATAAGACTAGATGGCCCCCCACACTTCCAACCCGCCCATGTGTGGTGACCCCTCAAAGCACTCACCTGATGATCCCCCCCGATGTCCACGGATGCCTGGGAGGCCTCTGGGGTCTGGAGGACCGTCTCCTGGGAGAGGGTCCCTGCTGCCTCCTCTTCCTCCTCCTCCTCCTGGTGCAGCTCTCCCACCTCTCCTACCTGGTCGTCCTCGCACAGGGGTCGGTCCACGATATGGTGGGGTAACCCGGACTGCACCACATGCAGTGGAGTCCGGGCTTCCCCACCGCCCAGGATATGCTCCAACTCCTGGTAGAAAGGGCAGCTCTGTGGGAGTGGGAGCTCTGGTCCCGGGCCTTGGCAAATCCCTGCCGCAGCTCTTTGACCTTGGCCCTGACTTGGTCCATGGTGCAGGAGTGATGCCCTTTCTTGGCCAGTTCCTGGGACATGCGATTGTATATGTCCACATTCCTGTGGTGCAACTGCAGGGCCGCAGGAGTGATGCCCTTTCTTGGCCAGTTCCTGGGACATGCGATTGTATATGTCCACATTCCTGTGGTGCAACTGCAGGGCCTCTTCCTGGGACCGGAGCTCCAGGAGGTTTTTTTATTTCTGGGCTAGACCAGGCTGGTGCCCGCCTTTTGGTGCCCCTGGGTGGGTTCTCCTCACTGTCCTGTGAAGGGCCAGGGGGGCCTTAAGGCTGGGACATGACTAGCATGGGTGTGCTGGCTGGCTTCCTGACAGCAATGCCTGTCTGGGTGTCTGTGCCTTTAAGAGACTGCGGACAGAAACCATAGAGGTGCTCAATATGTAAAGGCTGGACTGTCCACCAGGGCTTCTTCCTGGAGGTTTTTTTTTTTTTTTAAAAAAAGAACTGGCTCCCTGCGTCTACATACGCCTTTTTTCGACAGATCTGTCAAAAAAGACGTTCTTCCTCGTAAAAGGATGTTTACCGCTGTCGATAAAACCGCCGCGTTCTTTCGATTTTTCTAGTTTTTTTTTTTTTTAAAAGGCCACTCTTTTTGAAAAAACCCTGTAGTCTAGACACAGCCTTACTGGCATCTCTGCATAAAATTAGGGATGTCAGATCTCTTAGAAGCCAGTTGGAATCTAAGTCCTGGCACATTTAAACATCAGACTCACTGGAAAGTGACACTACATTTGAGATATTATACAGATATGCTGTATCCTGTAGGGACCTAATTTTTCATCTCTAAAATCTATTCCTCCTCTCGCCTTATGTGACAAAAACGAACTGCACTTTTAAAAAATCACTCCTGTTTCCCTCTAGAAAAAGGAGCAGGGATGTCAAAGATAGGGGTCAGGCTACAGCCACCTTTTGCAGGGTGTGCAAGGTCAACGAAGGCACAAGCCATCCAGAATGGCAATCCTAACAAGCAGCATAGCCTTCCTGCCAGCATCCCATAGGGTGCAAGCTACCGCACTAGAGGCAGGAAGGGACAAGGCTATGGACCACTTCCCCCCACTGGTGATTGGAACTAGCTGGCCAGGTGCATGCTGCAGTCTCAAGAACTGGAGCAGCAAACACCATTCCTCAGCACACTGCCCTGGAGCTCCAGAAGGGTTTTGTGTCTG